CAGGCCTCAGCACCCTGTGTATGTAAACACAGCACCTCTGTGACCTTGTGAATGAATCTCCAGTGGCTGTAGTGACAAAGGAAGGCCCCTTCTTCCCCGGCCCCATCCTCTTAGCAGAAATGAGTGACAGCAACACTTTCCAGAACTAGCTAACGGCTTAAGGAAGGCTTGAAGGGACTACGAAGTCAAGTGAAAAGAAGGGAACTAGGAAAAAATGACCTTGAAGTGTGTAAGTACAGCGAGTTGTGTGGTGGTGGTGGGGGGAAGTCTTGAAAAAACATTCCAGAGGACAGAGGACACACTAAGTATGGAATGGGTGTGACCCAAGCCAAGCAAAGAGGGGAGACATTGGGGAGCTGAAAGCACAGTCCTGGGTGACGGAAAAGAGCATCAAGCGATCCCAGGGTTCTCCAGCTCCAGCTGGAAGGGCAGGATGCCCAAAGCACCAGGTATGTTCTAGGAGTGCCACTATGGGCTGGATGTTTACACTCCTCTGACACACACAAGAGAGAACACCAATCGATGGTGACAGTATCAGGAAGCGGGAACTTCGGCCAGTCGTGAATGGGATTAGCATCCTTACACTGGAAACTTCAGCCGCTTGCCTCTCTTTCTCCACCACACAAAGACACTATGTGAAGACAACGTATACAACCGGAATGCAGGGCCTGACAAGACGCCAAGTCTTCCAGGGCTTATGTTAGACTTCTCAATCTCTTGACTTGGGAGAAATAAATACGTGTCATTTATCAGCCACCCAGATGGCTGTTTTGTTACAGCACCCAGACTGGACGGAGACAACTAACTGCATTTTGCACAAGTGTAGAGAAGACATTAAGAGGCAGTTGAATGGGAAGGGAGTGTTCAGGTGTTGGGTAGGCTGAACGCTGCTACGCATAGCATGAACTGATGCTTCCTGCGGCTCATTCTGGAAGTTTCTTGTGAGCATTTGTGCTCAGGCACGTCTCCTAAGACCAAAGAGAGCACTGCTGTCACCGATGGTGATGGTGATGGCTATTATTCTTGGTTGTCAGCGGGACAACATCTGGAATTAACCAAAAGCAGCAGATGGGTACATGTACCTGTGAGGGATTTATTTTTCTTAAGTCATTTGAAGTGGGAAGATCAATGCTAAATCCAGATCTTTTGAGGTGGGAATAGCCACCTTAAATCTGGGTCATTTGTTCTGGTGGCAGCTTGTATGAAGGACATGGAAGAAAGAAATTCTTGCCCTTGGCATGCTTGTTCTTGCTAGATCTTGCTAGAACTCTGGCAAGATCACTCCTTCACTGGCTTTATAGCCCACTTCTTTAGGATTTTGTCAAGCTGAGACATCCACCCTTGAAGACTGAACAACTACTGTATTCTTGGAACTTTCCATTGGTAGACAGCCATTGGTAGACTAGGTGGATCACAGCCCTAATAAATCTAATAAATAAATATACTCACATATATATGGATGTATATTATATCATATATATGTGTTGTCTAGAGAAACATAATGCAGAATATATAACATATATGATATATGTTCTATTCCTCTAGAGGAGCTTAATGAGCTAGAGCATTATGTACAGTTAGCATCCAAATTTGCTGAATAAATAAACTAATGAGCTAGGGAGAAAAGGAAGGAGTAAATGGAATATTCTAGATAGCATGGCAGCCTATAACCGGAGATGGTGACAGCATTTGACTGACTTACTTCAACATGGACTGAGAAAAAGTTACACCTTTCTAAGTGTATAATCCTTGTTTTACTTCCTACACAGCATCTCACTGTGGTTATAAACCATATTTATCTATTCCTGTAATTATGTTTAATAACTCTCATGTCTTATTGATACTGGAAACATTTTACCCATTACTTACATTATTAATTATTATATGTTGAGTTGCTTTCTGTGGCTGTATTACAGTAACTAATAGCAGGAACTAGTTTATATCGTATATAGGACATTGTGTTCTTTGGTTTATATATGCATCCTTCTTAGATTTCATGTGTTGGCAAAATTCGGATTATAATCCCACGTTAGAGATTAAGATGTCTTAAAATCAACGAGGATCCTGTGGCTAAAAACTGGGTTCATGGAGATTCCCACTCATCTTCCAACTGTTTTTTTTATTGTTGTTGTTAACTTGAGTATTGAGTCAGTTAGCACATATAAGGACGTTTAAGGTCTATGGTATAAATGATCAAGTTTATGCTGTACTGTATAAGCTCATGAATTTCATCCTAAACACAGGGATTTATTTGGATTTACAAAGGGGCAGAACAGCTGCCATATCCCTTCCTAAGAAGTGATGAACTCACTGTCAGTGGCGGGGGCAGGATCCAGTAGGCATCAGTGTAGGCTTAGGGGATGCTCTCTCTCCTCTCTGATGCCCACTGGTAATAGCTCCATGATGGGCACCAGTTCGTCTTTCCCAATACCCCAATACAACCCGGCCACTTCCTGATTGAAAAGGCCAGCCTGGAGTGGAATCTATTTCTCCACCAGAAGACCACGGTCTTCAGCTACAGCATGGCCAGTCATTCCCTGTCTAATTGCAACGTGCTTTGAGGCTTACTTGGCCAGTGCAGCCCCGTTATTAGGAAGCAAGACCTTCCTACGCCATTGCTTCGCATATTTGTTTCTCTGCCTTAAAGACCAACAATAATCTCTTATGTGCATTATTTTATGACTCATTGGACTATTACAAGGTCTACGAAGAAAGAAGATCTGTATTTTATTTTTTTAAATTTTTTTTATTAATTTTTTTATAAATTTTATAATTAATTTAATTTTACATATCAGCCACGGATTTCCCTGTCCTCCCTCCTCTCACGCCCCCCCCCCCAATCCACCCCCATTCCCACCTCCTGAAGATCTGTATTTTCAATGGCCATATTTCCATAACCAGTGTCTGGCACATTGTAGGTTTCAATAAGTATCTTCTCTGGATTCTTTCAAGGTTAAGAAAAGAAGAAGGCACATGTTCGGGAAAGCTTCCTGGAGTCCTGGAAAAGCACATACTTCCTTGGGCCCTCATATTATAAGGGCCGCGTTGCTCTACAAGGGGACTGTTTGTTTCTCATTACTTCTCTGGGGCTAGACTGAGTTCTTGGGTGAAGGAGACCAAAACTTACTCATACTTGGATCTTCAGCGCACAGGCCAGCTTGTTGTAAGCCGGTGGTTCTCAACCTTCCTAATGCCGCGACTTTTCTTTTTTTTTTTTTTTTTTTTTTTTGGTTTTTCGAGACAGGGTTTCTCTGTGTAGCTTTGCGCCTTTCCTGGAACTCACTTGGTAGTCCAGGCTGGCCTCGAACTCACAGAGATCCACCTGGCTCTGCCTCCCGAGTGCTGGGATTAAAGGCGTGCGCCACCACCGCCCGGCAGCCGCGACTTTTCAATACAGTTCCTTATGCTGTGGTGACCCCCAACCTTAAAATTATTTTTGTTGCTACTTCATAATTATAATCTTACTACAGTAATGAATCATAATATAAATATCTGATATGCAGGATATCTGGTATGTGATCCCCATGGAAGGGTCGTTGGACCAATAGGTTGAGAACCAGTGTTATAAATCATCATATATTTCCCAGAACCATGGATCCTCCATAGTGATTGCCTAGGAGCTGTTCTTGAACTTGGCGGAGACTACAGGGTCCTGCACACCAGTCTGCGGTCCTGGTGACACCCTCAAGGAGTTATCCCTTTACGGGACAGATTGAGGATCGGGGGCTGAGTCCAAGGCAGATGAATTGGGAGAAGGATGTGAGAAGTGTCAAGAGACATGGGACCACTTGAGTTTCTTTCAAAATGTGTCCCCTAAGGTAGCCAGCTGGACAAGCAAGGTCCTTTCAGCATTCCCAACCAACCCCCAGGGAACTCCTGGTCTTTAGAGCGACTATTGTCCCGGTTAAATATAATTACAAACAGTTCTCTATTTTGTTCAGAAGTGTTTGTGGCCGACTGCCTTCCTTTGTATAAAGAGGTGCCTTATGCAGGTGAAAACTCAGAGGACTCCCAGCAGCCTTGCCCCAGGCCTTGGCGGCTTCTCTTTCTCCTTCTCCCTACTAGAGTGCTTCTCTTACCAGGATGCATTAGGTAAGTAAGGTTAAGAAGCCGAAGTCTGCAGCCCTGGCCTGAACTTTCCCCGGGTCTGCTCAAGCCAGTATTCCGGAACCTTCCCAGGAAGTTAAGAATAAGCCAAGAGGAGAAAGCGCAGCCTTCATTTGACCCCAGCATTGAATGTGTTCCTGAGAAGCCCAGCTCCGTGGCTGGGAGCCAACATCACTCAGTGGAGGTGTGGGTGCAAAGGTACGTCTCCCTGAGCCTGCAAACAGACCTTGCCCTGAAGTCAAAAGATGCTGAAAGCACCCCGAATCCTAGCACTGAGGAGTGGGAGAAGGGTGGAGGAGGTGGCGACACCAGCTAAAAGCCCACAATGGACTTCTGTGAAATGAGAAGCGCGGGAGGGAAAGAATGAAACTAATTCTAGAGACTGTGGGCAGCAGGGCTGCTGCAAGAATCATTCTTCAGAAACCCAGCAGCTCGGGTCAACATCACAGCTGAGGGGGCCCGATGTTCGGAGGACGCGTGGCTTTCTGCAGAAAGCCACATCGAAGAGGAGGATCTAAGTCCCAAAGTTAACCTGAGCCTGCCGTGGTTGCGTGCCGGCGGGGTGGGTAGATACACAGCCCAGCATCCCTAGCTCAGCAGCGCGCGCAGCAGGCCAGGCGTGCCCAGAGCCCTGGGACCGCGGAAGGATATAAAGCACTGTTTACCTCGAGCCTGGCCGAGCCTTCCAGGGGCGAGGCCGGCGCCCGGGGCTCGGGCGCTGCAGGGGTGAAGGCAGCTGCCCTGGCCGCCCGCGGGCGCTGGAGAGTCGAGCGCGCACTGGTAGCGGCGCCGCTGATTGATGGGCGCCCGGCTCAATGACAGAGGCCGGGGCGCGGGTGGGGCGGGGCCGGCGACGAGGGCGGGGGCTCAGAGGAAATGTGTCGGTGACATTGAATGGGGAGACCGAGCGCGAGCGAGCGAGCGAGCGAGCGAGCGGGGCGCGCGCGCACACACACGCGCACACACAGCCGGGCTCGCTCCGAGATCCCCGGCCACGTAAGTAACTATTAATACCGCCTCGCCCGGAGATGCGGGCGTGCTGAGCGCCGGGATTGGCCTAGGGCGCCGTGGCCATCCCCTTTAATTTTTAAATACACGATCCTCTCCTACTTCTGGGTGGCAAGAAAAAAATAATAATAATAAAGGAAGAAAAGCCGTCGATTTTAATTTTTTTCCTCCCGAACAAACCCCGCCGTGCAATTTGGCCGCAAGGCATCGGAAGACAAGAGTGGCTTGCAAATTCTTCCAAGGCTCAAGACCCAGTTGTGCAACGGGAAAGGAACGCCGCAGGTTGGCAGGGTCCGGGGAGCATCTGCTGCCAGCTCCTGCAGGACCCCCGGAAGCTCCTGCCGGGGACACAGAGACCGCTGGTCCGCCCAGGTCACCGCCTGCACTTCTCGCTTCATTCGGAGGAGGATCCGGGACGTGAGCGAGCCGCGACAGCGGGAGCCAGTGCTGACCGCGCGCGCGGGACTCAGCCTTGGGCTTTGTCGCCGCCGTACCTGTGCCTGCCCGACTCCCGCACTCCCTGCTCAGCTTTTGCAATCTTTTGTTGGCACCGCGGACCGCTCCAAGTTAAATGCTCCTTTGCTATTTTGCTTTTTTTCCTGTCTACTTTTTTTTTTTTTTTAGAGCTCCACGATTTTTTGGAAAAGCCTCAGACGCCATCTACAGTTAAGACTTAGGTATCTGCCCTCTCTAGCACCCCCCTTCCACGCCCCCCACCCTTTCCACCAAAAAAAAGGGGGGGTGCAGCGCGGATTCTGGCTGCCGCGCGGCGTGAGCCGGTAGACTGGTGCTTATTTCCTTTTTGTTTGGTTTCTAACGCGTGGAGGGCGAGCCGGCGCCGCGCGCTCCCTGAAGACTGCACAAACTCCACGCAGGGCTCCTCCGCCCGGTCTGCGGATCCTCCTCAGCTGGGGATCGCTCGGGATCCCAGCGCTGCAGCTCCGCACGCCAGAGGCACATTCAACTCGTCCAGATCAACGCTGTGAACGGAGACCCACGGACTCCAGAGCGCGGTTCTGCACCGCGCTGGCGGCTTCGGGGTAACAAAAGGACCCGAGTTGTCCGCACAGCGAGCACCCCCTGGGAGCGGGGCTCGCAGCCGGGGACCTGCCCTGCGGCGCCCATCCGGGGGCTAGCGCCTAACTCTTCCTCCCCTTTTGATCCTTTTAAGTCGGTGGCACCCAGGCGCCTACAGCCGCGGCTCATCCATCTCTCCAGCGGGTTTTTCGGTTTGTTTGTTTGTTTTGCCGTGTGCGATCCCCACACTCATGAACATTCACAGGTCTACCCCTATCACAATAGCGAGATATGGGAGATCGCGGAACAAAACCCAGGATTTCGAAGAGCTGTCGTCTATAAGGTCCGCTGAGCCCAGCCAGAGTTTCAGCCCGAACCTTGGCTCTCCGAGCCCGCCCGAGACTCCGAACTTGTCGCATTGCGTTTCTTGCATCGGGAAATACTTACTGTTGGAGCCTCTGGAGGGAGACCACGTTTTCCGCGCTGTGCATCTGCACAGCGGAGAGGAGCTGGTGTGCAAGGTAACCAGTCCGGCATTGCTTTTGCTTTAAAAAAAAAAAAAAAAAAAAAAAATCCCGGGTCCTTTGGCAGGGCCCGGGACCGGGAGGAAGGTCGTGGAGCCCTCGAGTCCAGGGGCGGGAGGTTCGCGGGATCATTACGCGTGGCCTTGTTAAATGGGTTTATTTGTGTGTCTGTCCACGTTCGACTAGTTGCGAAGTTTTTAGACCGTTTCAGACAATGGGGCGGGCTGCAGCGGGGGCGTTTTAGGGTGAGCCGGGGAGGGAGGGCTGCGAGTCTGAGCCGGGGCACGGACACGCGTGCCCTAGGAGGTTGGTGGAGCCCCGGTGCACCGGGTCGGGTACCTTTACCCGGGGATTTCTCTCTAGGTCGAGCCCCATCCCCTCCCTGCAAGGACTAGGGAATCCCCGGTTGGTTTTCAGACGTCGCTCACTTGGTTCCTTTTGTAGCCATTGTTCTTAGGAGCCTGCAGGTGCTAAACCTTTGTTCCAAAGGTGGCCTTTAAAAGAGACACAAAAACTGTCCCCTCTGGCTGAGCCCAAGGCTCTGAAGGGGGAAAAGGAGTTTTAAAGCCCTTTCTTCTGCCTGAACCCTGGAAAGGAAGGTTGGGATGGAAATCAACCCCTTGCGCACTTTGGAATCCTTTGGGTCTGTCTTTTTGTCTAGGTTTCTTCGCATCTCCAGATTCCCTGTGTGCACACCCCTGTTGCTGCACCCCCAAGCACCCGCAACAACACCTTTGCCTGTTTAGGGACTGCCCTTTGGAACCCCCCCTGTGCTAAGACCAAGAAGGGCACTTGAATTTCCTTTTTGTCTTTGACCCTGAACAGTGACCGTTTTGTGTCTCTGTGTGTCTGTGTGTCTTTGTGTGCGCTCACCAAGTACCAGACATGGGGCTGAGGAGGAATAGTAACAAAATATTTGACTACAGTCCGTTTCCTACTGCAGTGGAGAGCAGTACTACCTAGAATTAGATGTAGATCAGGAATACATTACCACTAAAATTTAGGGTTTTTTTTTTCCCCGTCGTTTTATTTATTTATTTATTTCTTGAGGGGGAAGTGGGGTTCCGTGCTGCCTTTGAAATGGGTACTGTGCACATCTGTGCTACAAATACTGTATTGCACTTTTCCTCATTAATCACTGGCTGCTTTGTGAAATCGCCCTACTTCGTGCTGAACTGGAGCGCTTCCTTGGGGGAAAAAAAAAACAAAACAAAAAAACCGGGTGGGTGAAGATCTCCAGGCAGTTTTGAGATTATTTCTGAACTTAGAGGAAACCAAAGACTCTTTAAATATTGCCTTTTGCATGTACTAAGCGTTGGGGGATCTTGGATCTTCTCCAGGTTACTGTGATCAAGAGCAACGATGCCCAGCTAAAGCACTGAATTCAGTAGGCAACTCAGAGCCTGAGGCAGGGAGCCCTGCAGACTGCACAATAGGGCAGTCATCCTTCGAAATGAATGAATTCCACCGAGCTGTCATTCTCCTATGAAATATGCTCCATCATGGCAGTAAGCGTTCCCCCCCCCCCCTCCTTTCGCTCAACTCCAGTACAGCATTTTACTATTTTTTTTTCCTCCCAAAGGCTAGAGAGATTTTTTTTTTTTTAAGTAAAGAGAGTCTGCTGCCAATTTCTGCAGGAGCATCTTGCTATTATTTCTTTGTTTAAAACCAGGCTCGTCTCTGGCCTCTGTTCTTTCTCATTTCAGATCCTTCAAGACATATTTCACTGTAAGCTGACCTCAGAGTGTCATTTGCAGACTCGCTCTCTGGCCCCAAACTGTACTTAATCTGCTGGTTTAGTTATTGCAGAGATTGAATCAGCCCCTCACCAATTACAGGGTGGCTGCAAGTGGATTTAAGTGCAGTATCATTGTTCTGCTTGACAGGGGTCACCCCTCTACAGCTCTGGCAGCTTCTGCTCTGTACCCGAGGTGTCGACGTGGGTGACTTCGACAAGCCTAGCTGTGGGCCAGACTCTCCAGGAGAGTTTTTTGAGGGTGATACTATTAACCGCCCCAATCGACACACTGTGGAGCTTTTTTTTTTTTTTTTTAGCATGCTACAACGTTGAAGCCACCTCCTTTTGATGTCTTAGCATGGGGTTCCTGTTCCTTAGCTAGGTGTTCTTGCAGGAAAAAGTGCCGGAGCAGAAGGCTGTGTTTACCGGGGAAGACTCTGCAGAGGGTTCTGTTGGACATTCTTTTGTGGGAGGGGGATGCAGGGGAGAGCTTCCAGGGACATAAGCAAAATTCCTCAGCCTGATTATTGTCTCCACGTGCCTACTTCAGTTAGCCAAAGGAGGGGCGGATCTTTAAGGATTGTTTAGCTGTTTTCACAAAACCCTTGTAGCTACTGTGCAGAATGACATAATTACTATCCTGGCAGAATGGGCATTTTTTTTTTCCCCCAGACATGATGAATGTGGCCTGATCCTAGGGCCTTATCTGAACTGTCACATTATATAACCAAGGCTCCCAATTAAACATTTCAAAGGACCTGGCATCCAGGCTCATGGCTTGATTTTTTTGTACTTGAGGATGATGGTTTAAATACCAGTCCAAGCCTATAAATGCCTGTTATAGCCACTAATAAAAGTTTGGCTCCTTCCCGTTTAGGAAAACGTAAGCAATTCTTTTAGTTTTTTCCTTTTCTGTCCACCATTTTGCAGCTTTTCACCTCTCCTGCCAAGGGTATGGCCACACTGGAAAGCTACCATGAATTTGTGTGGTACTTTCATTTAATTCTCTGTCCATTCAGCTTTTCAGCTGTACTGTGGGACAGCAGGCTAACCGTGCTGAGCAAAAGGTTGTTTTGTTTTATTATTGTTATTATTTTTTAAAGGCAACTGGAAACAGGAAGTGTATTATAAATAATTAGAACTGTAGGCCCTGGTGACAGAACCCGCAGCCTGGCCCTTCAGAGCAAATCGAGCTTGTTACATAATGCAGCCTGTTGACATTAGCCACTCTGTGTGTGTGTGTGTGTGTGTGTGTGTGTGTGTGTGTGTGTGTGTGTGTGTGTGTGTTCCTCGATGAAAACTGCTGAGACTTCCCCAGTTCTGTGGCCCTGCAGTCTGTGCTAAGGTTGACTCAAGCATTTCAGATTCCTAATTGAGCGGGCCTCTGAGGTCACTGCTCTGAGGTCATCCTTTGACAATATCTGGGTGTGATTTGTGGTCTCCGGGGAGGTTTGAAGCATTCATTCTTAAATTCGAGGGTGTAGTGGCAACAGCTGGGCCACTTTCCTGAGATACCTCATTATGGCTCATTCACAGCCTGACTGTTGACTTTGCTTCCTCAGCCCCGGTTAGCACCAGCCCCCTTGAGGTGCTCATCCCTGTTTGACTCACAGATTTTTTTGTGTTGTTTTGTTTTGTTTTGCTTTAATGCTCAGTTACTTAACTCCTGGATTTTTTACATGGCAGTCTGTATTTCTGCCTGGGCTTCGGAAAGCCCAGGAATCCCTCCAAGGGATTCTAAGATAGCACAGCAGCAAAGAGAAGAGAGACGGAGCTTCCTGGGTGGGATTCGGACCCACAGAAGGTTGTGGTATCTAGGTCAGGGTGTTTAGTTTACAAAGAGGGAGGTTCTTTGTGTGCCTTAGCCATCCTAGTGGTATGAATGGTGGCCCCGCCAGAGCGACCGTCTTCCCCGTGACAGCGGATTTCTCCAGCAGCTCTCCCACCGCACTCCAAATACGGATGATGGGGTCTCACCTGGGACCAAATGACAGGAGCTCGGTGCTGCCACAGAAGACAAGCTGGAGTTCCTGCTAGGCCTGCTTTTAAATGAAACACCCCCTCACCTACCTCAGACCACTTCCAAGTAGCCTCCCCTTACGCACACCCTCCCCGCCCCCAGAACAAGGGAAATCCCACTCCAATCCTCAGTGTTGGTATAGCTGAGTAAGTATAGGCTTTGAAATGAATGAAAAGCTCCCCTTCCTATCCTCAAAATTTTGTCTGCTGTGTTCATTCCTCTTAGGTCTGTTCAGAAGGTATTGATGGTGCATTTTTCTTTTTTAAGCAACAGTGAGGTGGCATTTCACAGGCTAACTCTGATTCATAGAAAATCATTGCATAATTGATTCATTGAGTTAGATATCTGTGCAGGGAAAGGGGAAGCCGGCCTGATTCCCCCACGGAGGAGGCCTCTGTGCTATTCCTAACGCTGCCACTGGGGGCAGGAGTTTAAGCTGGTTTTCTCGGCCTCAGTTTGCACGTCTGTAAAATGAATGAATTCATCACACATGGAGAACGACTGAGGACAGTCTAGATGTATAATGAAGTAGTTGTTCATTCGTGTGCATTTTTGGTGCATTTAAAAAAATTAAATAGATGTTTGTCTTTGTCCAGGGGTCACTTGATTTTTTTTTTTTCTAGAATGATTTTTCTTCTAGTCTTTTTTTTTCCATCTGTAAATATGTTATCTGTAGGGAAGAGTAATAACACTTTGGGCTTAGGAACTCGCTCAGGCAGTCATGTGCTGGCCGTACAAGCATGCGGACCTGACTTTGATCCCTGGCACTCACATGTAAGAAGCTAAGTGTGGTGTTGCATGCTCTAAGACAGGGCCAGGAATATTCCAGGGCTATCTGGGTCCAAGACCAGTGAAAGACCCTGTATGTAGTTTCCTGAGGAGTCATACCCGAGGTTGACCTCTGGCCTCCATACACAGACACACACAGACACACACACACACACACACACATGCACACAGTCTGAACAATGAAACTTAGCATTTGTTTATCTCCTTCATTTTTCCCTCGAATCCCCTCAATATTGAATCAAGTTTCATTTACCCATTTTGTGCCAAAGATTTGGAGGTTCAGAGCAGTCAAGAGATTTGTTCTGCACTCTACTGTAGCAGGCAGAACTGGTGTGCTTGAGGTCTAAGTCTCATACTCTGTAGATGCCCTGTAAAAGCACAAGCCTTGTGGGAGGCTTCAGCGTTCTGCGGTTTGGGTCATAGGAGGCACCGCTGCTGACCGGGGTCTTGTCAATTCTGTCCTAGGTGTTTGAGATCAGCTGCTACCAGGAGTCCCTGGCCCCCTGTTTCTGCCTGTCTGCCCACAGCAACATCAACCAAATCACAGAAATCCTCCTAGGGGAGACCAAAGCCTACGTGTTCTTTGAGCGGAGCTATGGAGACATGCATTCCTTTGTCCGCACTTGCAAGAAGCTGAGGGAGGAGGAGGCAGCCCGACTGTTCTACCAGATTGCCTCGGCTGTGGCCCACTGCCACGATGGAGGGCTGGTGCTGCGTGACCTCAAGCTGCGGAAATTCATCTTCAAGGATGAAGAGAGGTGAGTGTGTCTCAGCCCATCCAGATGTGCGTGCGTGCGTGCATGTGTGTTTTGTGGTTTGATAGAGTGTCTCCATCTGCATCTGCAGGGAGCTTGTTCTGCTGTCTGTTGTCCAAGTGAGGGGTTAAGGCAAGGAGAACAAAGAGAGAATATTGTGGTGTCCCAGTGCCTCTGGCAAACGAGGAGCCCTCACTCCTGTCGTGAGATGTTCAGAGGCGAGGGGATGGGGGGTAAGTCGGTGACCTGCTGAATGTGTGGGGTTGGTGTGATGAATTCTGAAGGAGGCTGCAAGCCAGTGTGGCAGTTTCAGAGTCAACAAAGACAGGTTTATGAAGGAACCATGCCATCAGAACACTCGCTACCTAGAGGATCCTGTTTATAGTCCTTTCGCTCCTTCAGTCACTGGTTCTTATGCGTGTAGTAGGTGTGACGCAGAGTCTTGGTAGTGAATGTCAGAAATAGACACCAGATCTGTAAAAAATAGCTAGAGATGAGTCCCTGCTCCTGTGTGATGTGGGGTGGAGTGGTGGGGTAGGGGGACCTGTCAGCTCTAACTAGGTCTTGAAGAACCAAGAAAGGAGTTAAGGTGAGAAAAGCCTATGCTTGGGCAGTATGGGAAGGACTGGCTTGCCGGGGGAGGAACCGATGGTGTGAGCTTGTGCACCAAGGAGGCCTGACTATCTCAACAAGCATGTACTTAAGACACAGGCGTCTGGGCTTCATGGATGTACGCAGCAACTCATCAGGTTCCATTTAAGCAGCCTGGCCAGAGCCCAGCTTTCTCTTTGCTCGTAAAACTTCCTTTTAAGAATGAACTTTCTTAGAGAGAGGCAAGCAATGCCTTTAGAGCATCATCATTCACTTGTTCTTTGTGCTTCAAGACTTGTTTAAGAGGACCCACGCACCAGAGTCCATGGAGTCCCACGTCTTGAGCTTGGTCATTCTGGACTGGAGAAGAGGGCAGGGGGAATCGCAAGGCTCTCAACTAGGCCATCTGATGGCAGTCTGGTCCCCTTCCTTCATCCCCTCACCCTGCTGACATTTCTTTGGTACCCTCTGTAGATCACACAGACCTTGGGGGCAGACCTTTTTGCTTTTTCTTTTCTTTGACATCCAGCTCAGTGCCCTGTGATATTTTCACACCATTGTTTACAGAAATCCATTGTCCTTGTCTCCATGCGCCAGATCTAGTGATTTCTATGTACTTTCTTTCTCTTTCTTTCTTTCTTTCTTTCTTTCTTTCTTTCTTTCTTTCTTTCTCTTTCTTTCTTTCTCTTTCTTTCTTTTCTCTCTCTCCTCTTTCCTTCCTTTTTTCCTTTTTTCTTTCTTTCTTTTTTTCTCTCTCTCCCTTCCCCCCTCCCCCATTTCTTCCTCCTCCTCTTCCTTCTTCTTCTTCTTCTTCTTCTTCTTCTTCTTCTTCTTCTTCTTCTTCTTCTTCTTCTTCTTCTTCTTCTCCTCTCTCTCTCTCTCTCTCTCTCTCTCTCTCTCTCTCTCTCTTCCTGTTTGTTTATTTTCTCCTTCATGGTTTGAACTAATTGGGAACTTAATGTCTGGCAAGCACTTGGGGCTTAGCAAAGGAAAAGGGCCTGTTGTTACTTAACCCAAACGGAATAATTTCATGGCTGTTTAATAATCCAGCTGTGCATACAACATGCATTAAGCTCCTGGCCTTCCTATGCCTGTAAAGGTTGCTTCTCCTTGGCATGTGTTTACACGTGGGGTGGGTGGGTCCTAGCAACTCTGGCAGCTAATGTCCTGATCTTTTATTGAAATGGCTTCATCTTTTTTTTTTTTCCTTTTTCTTTTCTCTTGTTTTTAAGGAAGTGAAGACACAGGCTCCCCTAAGATTAGAATGTGGGCACTTCTTACCTTTTCCCTTCTTTAGCTCAGATACTCCAACACAGGTGATTGGTCTTTATGCTATTGTCGTTAATAATCTTTATGACCTTGGGGTGCCCTCCCTCTACCTCATGTTCGTCCTCCTTATGTTGCCACGGCTTTTCCATGGTGGCTCTTCATTCTTCTTCAGGTTTTTTTTTTCCAAGACAGGGTTTCTCTGCGTAGTTTTGGTGCCTGCCCTGGAGCTCGCTCTGTAGACCAGGCTGGCCTCAAACTCACAGAGATCCACCTGGCTCTGCCTCCCGAGTGCTGGGATTAAAGGCATGCGTGCCACCACTGACCGGCAGCTCTTCTTCAGTTTTAACCTACATAGTTTTGCCTCTTTGGGTGTTCTCATTTGGAAGATGAATATGGATTGGCCAAAGATATTCTCTTTACTGTCCCTTAAATTATAAAAGTAAGACACAGTGTTGACTGACCTCTTGTTATACAGTTGTAGGTCAGCTTACTTAATTTTTTGTAAAGATGGAGAGGGAAGGATTAGTGTGTGTGTGTGTGTGTGTGTGTGTGTGTGTGTGTGTGTGTGTGTGTAACTTTCTTTGTACTGTATGGCAAGCAGCCCACCATTGAGCTACATCCCAGCCCATGTGCATTTCATAGCCAATGTCTATAAAAGCAGGACTGTTGAGGTCTCAGAGTTAACACCAAGGAAGAGCAGAAGGTGGATGGGAGCCTCTAGGAAGCCAACCCAGCCGTCAAGAACTCCATTCATCTGCCAGAGCACAGAGCCCTCCAATGCCCTCGCCATCTCCCATGGGCTCTGCATGATGAAGCTTTCTTTCAGAGACCTAGTCAGGCATCAGTGAGTGTCAGGGTGGCACATCCCAAGATCACACCCACAGCAAATAAAGGTTTGTGAAGTGAGTCAAAGAAGTGTAGCTATCCTCACGTTACAGAACAGTAGACCGTGACCTAGAGGCAGCCTTTGATTTCTATCCCTTTCTTCCGTGGTCCTATGGAAACAGCCCTGAAAGAACTGGGAAGGACTTCCTCATTGACATTTTCAAACATCAGTTTCTTCTCCCTCCCACCTACTCTCCCTTTGAGACAGCTTTACAATATAGCCATGCTGCTTTGGAATTCAGTATCCTTCGGGTTGAGCCACCCAAGTACGTAGGCATGGACACCACATCCGACTCAGTCTTCTCTTTTCTGATCCCAAGAATAGTAGAAGGTAAAGCATCCTGTGGCAGAATTGACTGAGACCCACTCATGTAGAACAAGAGCTGACTTCTGTGTAGGCTTTGGGCTGAAGACTACCTGTGACTGGACCCAGAGCCATCTATGAAGATTCTTTATTGGAGGTGACAGGGCTTCACAATACACAGTGTCGTTTCGCTGACAGCCAAGGTCACATGCAGACCCAAGGCCAGTGTACCTACTGCCGCTATATTGGGTCATCGACAGCTCAGCTTCATCTGGTTCCCTTTGCCTTTGGTGTAAGTTCTAGAATCAGGTCCTGGTCTTGACTGCCTCTTCATGCTTATAAGTGGCAGCCTCCTCCAGGGGACGGACCTAAGCATCGCTTCCCTGGAAGGTGGTTAACATTCAGCGGGATGATGCTGGGGTTCGAGTGCAGAGAAGACACTCGGTATGTGACAGCTGTACTTGAAATCATTGGAAAAAAAAAAAAGTGTCGTTGTGCATGAACAGTCCAGAAGACTTGGTGGGTTGGTGAACAATGAAGGATGAAGTCACTCTCCTTAGCAGCCTTGTCTGCTAAGGAGAGTAGTTCCTTCTTGTGTAAGGTTGATTTCCCCCCAGACTAGGAGAAGGGGTGTGTTTCTGCAATGCAGAGCCCCTCTTCAGTATTCACTCTGAGGACCCACCATCATGGAGCCTCGTTTTGAAGAAATGAATCCCCAGCCTTCAATGAACTTGCCTGGGGCACCCCTCAATCTTGCAGAACCCTTCCTGGCTTCCTCCAGTCTGACAGAAGGGAGAAAACTTACCCACATTGCCACAGGGGATCCCCAGTACCTCCTGGCCTTCATTTTCCTGTGTTATATTGGGTTCCTTCCTTGCTTAGCATATTGGGAGAAGTGAACCTGAATGGCTGTGTGGGTTCCAGCCCCTGCTCTTGCACTTATTAGGAAATCTAGCCTTGGCAGAACCCCGAACCTGTATGCCCAGATGGCCTTGACTATAAAATAGAACTAGGAAGACCTTCCTCATAGAAGGAAGGTGACTAACGTTGACCGTGGCTTCTTCCATGTCTGTTCTCCCCTACTCCGCTATATCTGCGCATCCTTAGGCTGCTAAGGAAAGTCGTGGGACACTGTTCCCACAGTGGCCTTTCTTCAGTTTTGTCCAGCTGGCTTCTTCTCCTGGGACAAGGCTTCTTGCCACCCCCAGACTCCACCCCTTAACCTCAGATCACTGTTTACATCTCTTAGCGCAGAAATGTCCCATGTGAACTCAGAAACTTGCCTCCTTCTTACGCGCTACTGCTCTGGTGCAGAGATCTTTATCTCTTAAGGTGGTTGCTTTCATTTCATCTGCTGTGGAAGCCTGTCCTCTGCAGAGGGCCAGCCTCTGCAGGCTGGGCGCTGAGACCCCCTGTAGGCACTCAGGGGCTGTTGGGACGGGAAGGCTGATGGGGGATGCCGGTGGGCTTCATGTGTGCGAAGTCCAGCTTGCACCTCCTTGTTGGGGAAAGCCTTCCTCCCTCCCTTTCATCAAATAGCCTTCCTCCCGCCATCTTTCAGAGGTGTTGCTGACTGTGTCGACTCTTCCTTTAGATCTTTAAGTTGCCCCCACCTCCACTGAGGTTTCTATACCTAATAAAAGATTCAGGGCATGCATCCGATCTCCAGAGGCCAGCCTCAGCTTTTCTTTCACTGATAGCTATATATAATTTTGCAAGTTGTAGGTTCTCTATTTTAGGGAACTTCTCTCTCTCCTCTCTCTCTGTCTCTGTCTCTTTCTCTCTCTCTCTCTCTCTTTCTCTCAGCTTTGATGAGATAGAACCTCCAGGAAATGTTCACATTTAGGTAGACCAATGATATGTCCTTGTGCCCATACCAACCCTTGGGCAAAGTTCTCTTTCCGTTGTACCCCTAACCAGCTCCCTAGGATGGCGAGGTGTCCTCTTTCCATAC